CCCCCCCGCCGGGAGTGGGTCCGAGATCCCGAGGGCTCATCCCAACCGGGGCAAGGCCAGCGGCTCGACAGCGGGAGCCCCGTGGGACCCCGCCCTTGGCACCAAGCAGCACCCACCTTCCCCTCGCACCCCCCGGCATCACCGGTTCCTAAAACTGGAGCTGTGCCGCGATGCTCCGGCACAAGGAGCCGAATCTCGCCGGCACTGCCAACCGCTTTTTGGCACCGCCGGTAACAAACCTGGCAGCGGCGGGGTTGCAGGGGGTGCAGGATTGCACCCCGCTTCCCGCTGTTGGCTTTTTGCAATCCCGACCACTTCCGACGTCGCAATCGTGGACTCCCGCTCGCCGCCACGTGGGGCGCGCGGCCACGTCGACCGCAGCCACCCTGTTTGCTCATGGTGGCGTGTCGGTGTTGATTTGCTTTTATTTTATTTATTTCCCCCTTTTTTTTTTTTCCCCTCGGCTGCCGGGGGAGCGTCTCTCAATTTCTGCCTCTCCCTGTGATTCCTCCCTCCCACGCCGCGGAGGATGCTCCAGCTGCTGCCAAATTCCCACCAAAACCCCTTTTCCCCTCTTCCAAACCTGATCATTTTGGCATTGGTTTTCCCGGGTGCAGGGCGAGCCCCATCCCAACATGGGGTTTTCGGGATGGACTAGGTGGGACGGAGCAGCATCAACCCCTGGGTTTGCAGGGCTGGTAGCAGAGAGTGCAAGTGCGCCAGGAGCTCGCGCCGCAGCTCGTTGCAAAATCCCCCCCAGCCCTTTTTGGGGGATTTTTTTGGTTCTTATTTTGCTTTTTGGCGCCTTTTTGGGAAGGGATTGGGGAGGGGGTTTGGGGTCGGAGCCCCCTCGGGAGCTGCAGCTCTGCTGTTGTGCACAAACCCGTGCCCTCTCCCTGCGTGCACGAGTGCCGCCCTGGGGTTTATTAGCATCGCACGGCTAACGAGCGTGCTTCGTTAACGTGGCCACAGCAACGCGGCAGGCAGGAGACTCTCGGAGAGATGCGGAGATAGTGGAAATGGGGTTTTCCTCCCCAAAATGGGTTGCTCTTTGCCGCTCGCCTCCTTGCACGGCAGCAGCTTGCACCGTGCAACGAAAGCATGGGGGCTCAGGGGCGCAAGTGAGGTGGGAGCATCTTTGATCAGATATGAGCAGAAATTGAGGTGGATTTATTTTTTTCCTTAATTTTACTTTTCTCCCCCCTCCCAC